CTGTGATGCTATTATAAGAACCGATACCCATTAAACACATACATGAACATCAGATCTTAAAGTCAACAAAAACAAAAGATTCAACATAACAGGAGGAGGTTTGGGGGTTGGAGAAGCTGCAGCAGCAACTTTGGTGCGAAGGAGTAAAACTTAAAATCGGTTATGAAGGCCTCCTCTGTCCATATGATTGGATGGTGTTCATCATCTCGTATGAGCACCCGCCTGGTGCTCTGCACGAATTCAATGCTTTGTATTTTAGGTAGAATTCTGCAAATGCGGTCATCCCTCTAAAACATATTTCTTCAGCCATGGATGGAGATGTCGGTTGGGCAACCACTTTGTTTCGGACTGAAATATCTCAAAACTATTGGATTAAATGTTGTTCTTGGAATGAAATGTCTTCAATACTTGGAATGATTGCCATTATCACCTCACAAGCTGCTAGAATGGATGTAGACTCATTGGAAAACATGTATATTTTGTCAGCCTTTCATGAGCCAAGAAAAACAGCCTTGTTTTCAGCTATGTAACAATGGTTTGCAGAGTATTTAAACGTTCATCTATCTCCATAAGCAGGCTACTTTTTTAAACCAAACACTTAATCATTTGGTTTATCATAAGTCACCAAATTGTTTTTTTGGTAATTTAACACTTTAAGACATCATTATTGCAAACTATTTAAAGTTTCCTCTCTGTGGACATCACTACTTCAAACAGACTGATGTTCATTTGTAAACAGTAAAAAACGACACATGTTCTCACCATCCATAAAGCTGGACTTAAATATGGTGCAAATAGACTACAGCAGAGTAGTTATCACTTTATATGTAAACACTAAACCTTCAGTGTGTAGTGAAGCGCTGCAGTCTGTATTTATCCCTATAAAATGTGTCGAGAGCAGACCCAGCTGAGCCTGCACGCTGCGTGGATTCCTGGCTGCTTTTACACCTCTGTGCACAACATTTTAATGATGAGCCTTCTGCTGCTGGAGAGCTACTGTTGACTGTGTTTTAAAAAAGAGAAGCAGAGGGGCTCTTAGTGCCAAACATCAGAGAGAGAATCATCTAAAGGACGAGGTCGACTCCAAACAGACGCTCTCACACTCTGCCAGACAAACACACAAACAGGAAGCAAGCGTTCAGGACAAAGTCTCCAGCTGAAGGATTAAAATGATTATAGCTGTGGATGGTGGAGCTGCTGATGGACAGTTGAGTGTGTGTGTGAGAGAGCTGATTTAATGTCAGGAATCATGTTTCGATATTTCTTTGTTTCTACTTCAGTCTAAGATGTTTTTGTTTTCCTTTCAGGTTCTTACTTTGACTTGATTAACGCTCTGAAGTATTATTTTGCGATATTCCAGGCTCAGATGACTTTCTTCCGATTGTATCTTTTCTTCTATTTGAGGCTTTTGCTTTTATGTTATCAGGTGAGGATCTCAGAGTGATTCCTTTACATAAATGTGCCTGTCATCTTAAAAAACGTAACAGGATTGAGACTTTAGATTATTTAAATTTTATGCCTTTATGTGTGTCAAAATAAATCAAAACTCAACAACTATTGCATGTATTGCCTTGAGATTCTGTACAGACATTCATGATCCTCAGAGGATGGATCCTAATGACTTTGCTGACCTTCTAACACCACCGTGAGGTTGACATTTATAGTTTTGAGTGAGATGTCTCGACAACTGTTGGATGGATTGCCATGAAATTTAGTACTGTCTGTCTGTAAGTGTTTTTCCATCACCAGGTCAAACTTTTCATCTGTCCAGTACTGTGGTTTAACAACAGAAAACTTAAAGGCATTCCCATCATCCCCAGCTATACTTGTGTGTGTAGTGCTAATTAGCCATGATGTTGCATGTTAACATTATACCCGCCAAGCATAATCACGTTAGTCACGATGCCGTGATTAATTGCCTGAGCGATCAACAACCTGTTTCTCCGAAGATTTGCTTGATTTCTGGTGGTTGGATTTCCCTCATGTCTGCTCTCTAAAGATCTGTTATAAACTAGTGAGCTTGTTTTAATACTTAATATTACTGGAGTATTATTTGACCTGTTGTGGTTAACTCTGCTGTGATATAAAACCCAACTTCACTGCCAAACAGGCCATACAGATAGATCTGTGGCTACATACTTTTTCTTTCTTTCTTCTTACTTTCTGTTCATAGCAGATTATTAATTGCACAAACTAACACTGCCTTTCTCTCTTTTTTGTCAGCACTGGAGGAGGCAGCCACCTTATCTGCAAAATTGACAGCTACCACGTTGTGGCCGATCCATACTGTGTGACCATTAAATTCACAGCTTCTGGCCGTGCAGAAAGGCAGATTTAAAAACATTTAATGTGACTTAATTCAACATATAAATTCATACAATTCATACACTTCATGCATTTTTGTGTGTTTTTTCTTATCCTCCTCACTGTCAGTGTACAAATCTAACTAACTTAAAAACCGGAAATCTGACTTTTAATACAACAGCACTGTCCTGTGTGATATGGGTCTGTAACAGCAGGCTCGTATCTGCTCTTTTCTCTGACTGTCTGCTGGATGTTTGGTGATACTAACCCGGCACCTGGCAGGGAGATAATATAATGTTCCAGGGCGAGGCGAGACCATTACAACCATAATACCTAAAATCTAATTTCAGCTTCCCTCACAACAAGTTCCATCTTATCTAATGCTTCCTGTTCAGAAATTTTGGGTGGGTCGCTATGGTCTGAACCTCAGCCACTGGCCCGCTCAGTTTCCATAGAAACCATGTGAGGACAGGAGCATGGCCAGAGGAGAAACAGGACCTCTTCTTCTATTCTTCTTCTTTTGTGTTATCACTCTTTTATGGTGCAGATTAGAGTTTGTGTGTTGAATGTTGCATGTTGTTTCCATCTCTTTCTTCCTTCCTTCCTTCCTTCCTTCCTTCCTTTGGTCTGAACTCTAAAGCCAAAAAATAAAAAGCAACCACATACTGTGTCTGTGCTTCTATGTGTGTATGTGCCTCTATTTAAATCTTAACCCTCCAGGCAGAGTTTTCCTCCCACGTTTTCATTTTTCTTTTAACCATGTTTTCCACTGAGGCTGCAAGGTGCTTTCGGCCAGCATCAACGGTGTCAGATTAACAGCACACAGCAATCTACCAATGGTAATGTACAATCCCAATTACTGTACATAAAATGCGCATTCATTATCGGTACTCACTATACGAGCATTCAAAAGTAAGTATGCCCAACAAAAGGTTTTTGCCTCAAGTCAGTTTCATTTCCCTTTTGTGATGTTAAAGACTTCCACACCGTGTTTTTTGCTTGTTTTACAGCAGTTGAAGTCCCACATATTTGCTTAGTTGATTAATCTGATTAGAAACTGCAATGAAAAGAAAATCAGGTTATTGAAGTAGCAACAAGATTGCTCTGTATCCCATGTAGCCAGTGCTGGTCATGTTCAAATAACAGCTTAAAACAACACTTCTATCACCTCCTTTATTCCCATGATGCATAATAATACACTGTTTCAATGTTTTTTTAAATTTAACTTACAAACACTGTAGCCTGATATTTTTTGTGCATTTTGCCCACTTGACATAACCTTACAAGAACGTCATTACTCCATGTCTTCTGGAGAGGGCGCCAATCAAAATGAGAACAGCAATCAACTAGTTTCATTAACAAGAAGTAAACCCACACAGCATGGCGGAGATGGGGGATAACAAAGTGGTGAAGCCCCTGCATGTCTTCACTTTGTTTCAGAAATGTTAAAACAATCAGGACACTACCCTAAACTGGATATCGTATTCAGTGGAAAGCTCTACTTCGCATCTCCAGAGCCATCTCTGCATTTATTTACAAGGATCTTAGACAGTGTTGTACAAACTGGTTTCCAAGAATTGATCCAAACCCTGGATGCATGATATGAAATGTCTTGTTGGAAATATTTTACGGAGAAGCCTAAACAAGCATTTTATGAAGAGAGCACAAGTGGAGGATGTGCCTCAAAGCGAGTCGCACTACCCATCATGGTCCACGTCTCTGACCAAGACTGGGGAATGCAGACATTTTTCAAAAATGAAGGTGCACGGATCTCACACTGGGGCTCATATGGCAGAAGATTTGCAGGATACTGTAGAAAACTGAAAACTCTCAGTGGTTGTACATGGACATCAGTACACGTATTAAACCTTGCCTCAAAATTTGTCTTTCATGTAGCATGAAAAGATTTAGCATTTGAATCATTGTAATCAACAAAAATCTTTCTTAAACAGGACAACTCAGTTATGTTGCAAACTGGGAAGCCATCTCCGAGCCCATTGATTCTAAGAAGTGTTTACCTCCTAAATACTGAAGTTGCAGTGTTTTTAAATGAGAAATGAGCTCAAAGTGTTAAACACAGTCTCTCTCTCTCAAGCTCCCCTTCTTCCTGGAATGAATCAGTACTTCATACCCCTCCCTCTCTTCCACCCTCCCTTCTTTCTGCTCTCAGTCTCAGTTCCCTCTCCTTCAGATCTACAGTTTGAAGATGGGTGAAGTGAAAGAGCTAATAGTTATACAGCAGATTGTGATCGAGAGTAAAACTGTAATTTTAATAGGTTTTAACTGAAGTCTGGATAAGACCTCCAAGTCCTTTGTACTTTCTGGTTCATGAGCACTTTATAAATGTTATGCACTTTGACACTTGATGCACTTTATTGTTAAACTGTTTTGTAATATTCTCATGTAAAATCTCAATAAAGTTTATTAAAAAAAAAGAAAAATCAACACAGTATCTCTCTGAAACAGCTCCTCTTCCTGGACTGAATCAAAGCTTGATAACTCATCCCTCTTCTTTCTGCTAACAGCGAGCCTCACTCTGGACATGTATTTCCTTGTTCCCTCCCCTTTAGATCTCAAACTTGAAGGATGGGTGTAACCAATATGGGGTGAATTGAAAGAGCGGACAGACCCCATTCGCTGCAGAAGCACATGTTGTTTAGATCAGAGCTCAAATTAGATTCATTTATAAGGAAGTGAAACTCAGACAGTTGTTGTGACTGAGAGGTGAAATGGCGCAGCAAGGAGTTCAGCTGGACAGAGAAACCTTCTCTTGTTCAATCTGTCTGGATCTACTGAAGGATCCAGTGACTATTCCCTGTGGACACAGCTACTGCATGAACTGTATTAGAAGCTACTGGGATGAAAAGGATGAAAAGAAAATCCACAGCTGCCCTCAGTGTAGGCAGACTTTCACACCGAGGCCTGTCCTAGTGAAAAGCACCATGTTAGCAGATTTAGTGGAGGAACTGAAGAAGACTGGACTCCAAGCTGCTCCTGCTGATCACTGCTATGCTGGACCTGAAGATGTGTCCTGTGATGTCTGCACTGGGAGAAAACTAAAAGCCTTCAAGTCCTGTCTGTTCTGTCTGATCTCATTCTGTGAGAAACACCTCCAGCCTCACTTTGAATCACCTGCCTATGAAAAACACAAGCTGGTGGACCCCTCCAAGAAGCTCCAGGAGAACATCTGCTCTCGTCATGATGAGGTGATGAAGATGTTCTGCCGTACTGATCAGCAGTGTATCTGTTATCTCTGCTCTGTGGATGATCATAAAGGCCACGACACAGTCTCAGCTGCAGCAGAAAGGACTGAGAGGCAGAGAGAGCTCGAGGTGAGTCGACAAAACATCCAGCAGAGAATCCAGGACAGAGAGAAAGATGTGAAGGAGCTTCAACAGCAGGTGGAGGCTATCAATCACTCTGCTGATAAAGCAGTGGAGGACAGTGAGAAGATCTTCACTGAGCTGATCAGTCTCATCCAGAAAAGAAGCTCTGATGTGAAGCAGCAGGTCAGATCCCAGCAGGTAACTAAAGTGAGTCAAGTCAAAGAGCTTCAGGAGAAGCTGGAGCAGGAGATCACTGAGCTGAAGAGGAAAGATGCTGAGATGAAGAAGCTCTCACACACAGAGGACCACAACCAGTTTCTGCACAACTACCCCTCACTGTCAGCACTCAGTGAATCTACATCCAGCATCAATATCAGTCCTCTGAGGTACTTTGACGAAGTGACAGCGGCTGTGTCAGAAGTCAGAGATAAACTCCAGGACCTTCTGAGTGAGGAATGGACAAACACGTCTCTGACAGTGACTGAAGTAAAGGGCATAGAATTGGGGGGACTTCAGGGCCTGTGTTTGAAGAAGAAGAAGCGCAAACATATCAGAAAGAATAGCCGTAGAAGCGCGAGTCAGGACATTAATACAGACTTTGAACAGGGTCTAGAATTATGTGCCACGCCCCTGACTGAAGTGGATGTTTCACTGTTACAACCAGAGCCAAAAACCAGAACCGAATTCTTAAAATACTCATGCGAATTCACACTGGATCTGAACACAGCAAACAGATTCCTGGTCTTATCTGAAGGGAACAGTAAAGCAACAGTAACAATACAGCAACAGTCCTATTCTAGTCACCCAGACAGATTCACTGATTTTTTTCAGGTCCTGAGTAGAGAGAGTCTGACTGGACGTTGTTACTGGGAGGTGGAGTGGAGAGGGAGAGGAATTTGTGTAGCAGTCGCATACAAGAATATCAGCAGAGCAGGGGGATTGAATGAATGTAGATTTGGATACAATGACAAATCGTGGGCATTATATTACTGCCAAAACAATTCTATGATTTTGTACGACAGTAGCTGGTCTTCCGTCTCAGGTCCTCAGTCCTCCAGGGTTGGAGTGTATCTGGATCACAGTGCAGGTATTCTGTCCTTCTACAGCATCTCATCATCAGAAACCATGACTCTCCTCCACAAAGTCCAGACCACATTCACTCAGCCTCTCTATGCTGGACTTTGTCCTTTTGGTGATAGAGACACTGCTGAGTTCTGTAAACAGAACAGAACAGACAGAAGTCATTTGAGGCACAGTTGGTTAGGGTTTGAGTTTAATTCGTAAAATTCTTAATGTGTTTTGCAGAGAGCTGATTGTTGTATTGCATTGTTGCTTTTCTTGACCTGTCAGTCAATCATTATGGGTGGCACATTGACATTTTGTCATTATTTGCTCCGTAAATGTTTGAGTTTCTTTTGGTGGCGCTCCCTCCTGTTTCTGTTTAATCACGGAGGGACATCACTGCTCATGAAGATTTTTGTTTACCTGAACCAGAGTTATTATAGTTTTGTATTTTTCATTAATTTTAAATGTTACATCTATGACATTCATACTCATGTTTATGTTGAAAAGAGATGATATTGTATATGTGTGTTGCTCCTTGTGTGTTTAATGGCAGTGTTTGCAGGATGTGTTTATGTGTGGATGTGTGTAAAAGTCAGATTCATTCAGATCTAACAGCATCCTTCCTGAATGCACAGATGGAGATATATGTAGAGGTCATGATGACATTGTATATATGTGTTTACCAGCCTGTTTGAAAAAAACATTTGCTTTGTTTGAATTCTTTGAGTTGTGACTTAATAACCCTGGGTCTCAAGGCAAGAATATACTGTGTGTATGACAATACCTTATGAAGGCAGTTGGCTTCCTGTCTCAATAGACATATATACACCAGTGCCTCAGTGAGTTTTTACTATAAATTCATTATCTTTATTTCAGGTAACTAAACTTTTTTAGTAACCTTAACCTGAACCTACATTTCTCTGCATAAAAGTGTAAACTTATCTGTACTCTAAATGTTGACTATGTCATTGATAATACATTACTGTTCTAATGTGATTTCATGTTTTTTGTTTTTATGTTGCATTTTATGCTGCAAAACCAATTGCCCTTCAGGGATAAATTAAGTTGAACTTGATTAATATTTGTATTGATGTATTTTGTATGTTGTTGTTTTTGTCCCACTGCATGGGTCTTAAGAGGGAAAGCACCAGACCTTCATCGTATTCGTAGATATTTTGTTGTCACCACTTTGTAAAAATTACATTTATTTGTTTGGCAGAATGTTTTTGTTATTGTACAAATGAGGAACTATGATGTAGCTAAAACTAAATTATTAATAAACATTGTGAGATATATCTGACATTGTTGCTTGGGGATTCGTTTATTCTCTTGTTGCTATGACTTCTAAAATGTGTTTAAAATATGTCATTGAAACATTTTCCACATGTTTGGAGCTAAGAATGACAACAGTGCAACCTTTTCATTATAAGCAGGCGAAATAAAAAGCCAGCTTTATGAACTGTTGACTCACAGACACACTTTAGCTGCCTCGAGGCCAGTTAAATCAAAAATGTTTTTATTAAAATGTCACCAATAATCCTACTTGTACTCCTGTTTGGCCAAATGGCATGACAATGACACACAGGCCCAGTCCTCTGTATAGGGATGAGTTTATTAAAGCACAAAGACAGCCGGGATAATGATTTTACCCACTGAAACAAATTAAAGACAAACAGAGGCAGGCAGAACAGTCTTAACTAGGTTACAAGGCAGGCTTAGAATTTGAAGGCAGTCAGAAAAAGGCTGTTAATAACTAGCTGTTATTTGTTCTGGGGCATAATGAGGGGACAAACAGCAGGTGTGAGCGAGGTCAGGTGATGGGCAGAGGTGAGAACACACTGAGGGTAGTTGGTGGACAAATAGCAGTCCCGAATCACCTTACTCATAAACAAAATCCTCAAAAAAAGAGGACATCATTAAGTGACCCTATCAGCACTAAAGTCCGTTTGTCTCAGGTAAATTCATGTTTTTGTATATGATGTGTGATTTACAGCCATAATGTACTATATAGTTCGCCACCGTTGCTGTCGTTATATTTGTGGTGTGGACTCCGGCATCCACTTGTTGGAATGTTAGTATGTTTATTAAAAAGTTGTTGGTATTCTTATAGTTATTGTTCTTGTTGTGGATGGCCCTTAAAGAATGGATTTGACAGTGTGTCTAACATAAGCTACCAACATGCCTGTCATGGCTGCTATGGAAAGTTTAAGGGCTGGGACCCAAACACAGACAGAGAGGCAGCATTGTTATAGAACAACAGAGTCTGCAGACCACACAGACCCCTTAACCAACCACACTGTTGTAGTGCCTACACCTAACCAAGCCTTACCCAGAGTGGTGTCAGATCAGGAAATGTTTTTATTTTTGCAGCATTGATTTGTAACAGTGTTGAAAGGCAGTGAAAAATGATGTTGCCCTGCTGATAGTGGTGTCAAATCAGAAAATGCTTCTATGTGTCATTCTGGAGGGCAATTACAAACTAATTCTGCAGGTGAGATGCAGAAGCGAGCATTAATGGCATGAAGGTATCAGCAGAGCAACAGTGAAAAAATTGTCAGGTCATGAAGGCTCCCCCTGTACACCTCCACCTGAAGAAGCGATGTCTAATAAATGGAAAAAAGGAGAAAAACGCCGCCTCTCAGCCATATTTCAAAATAAATTGGGAGAGGGGAGCCAGTGAGAGGAAATGATAAAAGAAAAAAGGAAGGTAGGAAAATGGTCAGAGAAAGCTGGAGGAGAAGAGAAGAAAAAGAAAAGAGCGGAAATGAGGGCTAGGAAGGACAAAAGAGCAACGACTGAGGAGGAAGAGTGCATGACAAGAGGTGAGGAGGAGGGAAGAAGAAGCATGTTGACTCCAGCCCTCTCATTATAAAGGTCATTAGTGGTTCCTCTGGGTGCTGATTAATAACACAATTTAGATCAAAAGGCCGCTTAACTCGAGACCTCTGAATTATAGTTTGATAGAAAAAAAGGTCATCAGAGAGAGAGGCAGAGAGTTATGAGGCAGCTCTCTCACTGCAGTGAACACAACTTTCTGATCTGCAATAAAATAATTTTGTCTTCAAACAGATTTGCAAAAGTCTGCGTGATTTTAAAACATGGGTGGTGTTTAATCAATCGAAGCTTTTATAAAACATAAAACTCTAAACCTTCAAAGCTAAACATATGTTTGATGAAACCGACTTCTCTTAACGAGCCTGAATATGGATAGAAAGTGTTTTTCTCTGTGCTTTTATCTCTTTGCATCAGCACTAGTGGGCCGATTATGGCATTTTAAGATAATTGGCATCAACCAATGCCTGCACTTACCAAAGGTCTTGTCATTGTGGCTGTCAGTTAGTTTGTTAACCTGCGTTTCCTCAGTAACCATCGTCTTTTCTAAATGTTAACATATTTCAGAAAATCGAACCTAAAGCTCTTACTGGCTAGCATTAGATATATATTATGTTATAACGTGTAGAATAATGTAGTTGAATGACGTCTCTTCTGACATACTGTACCCCGCTCTGCCCTAAATATGAGTCATATTCTGGTCACAGCATAACCCAATCTATGTTTCTATTTCATCAATTAATAAAAATTCCATCTAAAAGAACATGATACTGGAGTTTACCATGTATATTAGATTGTAATGTGCATGAAATAATGGCATTACACTTCTTTGTTGTGAAATCCGCCATCAGCCGCCCTGCTCAGAATATCAGCATTGGTAGTGCCTGAATTGAAACAAAAAAGGTGGAAGTACCCTAATTCCTAACTTCCAACCCAAACCCTAAACACAGCATAACCCCAACCCTGATTATTTTGCTGTTTTGACTTAATTTTTAACAACTTCGGTGGTGTTTTCTTAGCTTTAAGCTATAGGAAATACCAAGGTCCAAAAACTGAACTTGTTAGGGCCATTTAAGGGCATGCATCAGAGCATCACAGTAAAGTTATTTTAGGCAGTTATTTCACGACTTTAATTGTATACCCCTCAGAAAAAATACAGAGGTCTGGTGACCTGAGTGGTGGGTACAGACCATGCTCACCAAAGAAGTGCCAGCTGAAGTACCAGCAAGTCCATTTCAGGCACTGAGCTTCAGCAACTGAAAGACCCTTATCGGTCAACCATTACCCAGCACCTCTACTGTCTAATCTGGAACCAGCCACTAATGAAGCAAAATCTAAATTCATAACGAGTCGGACTAATTCTCACCTCACTTCAGTTTGATTATTTATTCAGTTCCCCTTTCCTATCGTCCTTCTGTCTAATTTCATAAACCTGGCGGCACATTTAACTCTCTCTCTCATTCAGCAGTACACCTGGCTCAGTTTAAATTTTAATTTCTCCTTTCGGCAGTGTTCATTATGTGTGTAATTGTCCTGTTTCTTTAGTGACTGACTTTGCCTGCAGCTCAGAGAGCAGAACGGAGCTGCAGCCGGGGTGTTAATGGCAGCAGAGAAGAGTCATAGACTGAACGTTCGGGAGCCTCACTGACAAACCACCGTAACCTAGTTGATTGATGTAATCAAGCATAATAGACCATGGTGGAAACAGATGATTAAGTACGCACCACTGCCTGAACTTTCATTTCCGTTAAATGAATCCCTTCTGCTCCAACCAAAGCTAGTTCTGCGCACATTATGATTTGTATCAACAGAAATGTGGAATCCTTGAAACAGAGATGACTTCATTAGATCCTATAAGTGATCTGGATGTGGGTTTTTTCACAGTTTGGTGACTGTCATTTTGTCGGCCATGGTGTTATGCTGCATCCATGTGCTGTTAGAATCAGAATTTGGTCAAATTGTGGTAGGAGTTTGGCTCAAGCAGAGGTGGTTTGAGAAAAAGCCGAGAAACCACAACCGCAGCCCTCATCATCATCTGTCTCTGGTTTCCTCCAGTTTATTGTTTTTCCTGCAGTTTAGCTTGTAAGCAGTTTGCTGTTTCAGTGGTTGGGTGTTAAGAAGCTCTCTAATACTGGAACAATGTTTAAAGGCTGTACAAATAAACCTGACTTGATCTGGATTTTAAAAGAGTGGAGAGCGAGGGAGAGAGTTTGTGTTGTAGCAGGTGGAGAGAAACCCTTCACATCATATTAGCAGCCAGTTCAGCTCTGCTTTCAATCCTCATCTGGGATCTTCGTCTTTTCCTGCACTCTGTTTAACGCCTCAACAGTTATCAAATCATTAATCAAGCCAGCATCAAATCTACTCCCACAGAGCCGTGTGTGTGTGTGTGTGTGTGTGTGTGTGTGTGTGTGTGTGTGTGTGTGTGTGTGTGTGTGGTCTACCCTGCAGCTTTGAACATATAAAAAAGGTCTCCATGTTGAGCTCTCGTGTTCAAAGCTCACTGACAGAAAGCTCAACTTCTCCACGAGGGAAATGTTGTTCAATAATTTTACAGTGCACGCTGAATTAAACATGACAGGATTCCCATTTCTGAATACATAACAACAACAGCAACAGCCTCAGATTCTCTACACCGACAGGCTGCTGAAGATAAAATTGGAATGCATGTTGCTATGGCACTGAACTTTAATGCTGGTGGCAATTTATGATCTATAGATTATGTTTTCAAATCAGCTTAATTTGCAAGGTTTTAATGTATTTCATTGGAATTTTTCCACTTTGGCTTCTGGCGAGTAACTCTTTATAGGTGACTTGTTGTTCTTTATTATTGCTTTATGCTGACATTTAAATTTGTTTTACTTAAGTACACATGTTAAGAAATCATTTCACATTTAACTATATATTTTGTTTTTTTAAATTGTATAATTTTAATGCTTAAAAAATGGGGTCTTTATCCTAGAAATTACATTGGTTATCCCTGAGAACTGAGAAGCTACGGTACATAAAAAGTACATCGTAAAAGTTCAACCACTGACCATGCAGGTTCCTTCTTTTCATTCATTCAACAAGTCACCCTGTACACCAAATCAGAGGTATTAGATTTTTTTTTATTTCGTCTAACCATATAAATATGGTAACAGTTCTTGCAGTAGGCCTGTATGAAAGATAACAGTATCTGTTGTATTTCTGATCTATGTCAAGTATTCTGTAGACTTGTGCATGTTTCAGTTTGTAGGCTGTTATTCTCCACTGGATGCTGGATCTTCATATGTCAAGCAGAAAATAATGAAATGTTCAAGACTTTTCTTTATTTCTTTATTCAACACTTGCTCCATCCTGAATACCTATTACACCTGTAACAAACACATGAAGACCTGAAGTTGTATGGCCTGAAACATCTGCGTTAATAATAGATTAACAGACCTCGATTGGCCTTTTTCACAGCAAACATTTTGAAATGCAGTA